CCCCCCCCCCCGCCGTGTTTTTAGGGTGCCGCTGCTGGCCGGGGGCGCAGGGCCGTGCAAGGCTCGGGCGGCCGGCAGGCGCTGGCCGCTGAGCCTTCCTCAAGGGCTGGGGCAGATCCCAAGCCTGGGCTCCCCAGCGCTGCCCCCCAACTGGGCTGGGCCACACACGGCCCACTGGAAGCCTGGGCCTTCAGCTCCCATCGCCCCCAGCAATCAGTTAGGCTGGCTAGGGCTGACGGGGCTTACCAGCCGGAACATCTGGAGGGCCACAAGATGTCCAACGGCTGGTCAACGCTCACGCCACCCCAGTGGCCCCCGCAGGCGGATGGTGGCCCCGGCCCCGCCTCCATTGAACTCGATGGGCCTTGCTGGGAGGGCTTCCAGATCGCCCGGCTTTATTCCGAGGCACACCTCTAAACACAAATTGGGGGGGGGGGTGGCGTCCCATTGATGTCAATGGGATGCACTTCAGAATAAACATACTTAAGAGAAACCTCACCCACTCCGGGATCCTCTGGATTTGTTGGGCTGCAACCCCCGGCTAGCTGGGGGATGCTGGGACTTGTAGTCCAACACACCTGGAGGACAGTAGGTTGAGCCAGGTGTCTTGAAGGCAAACCCATTAAGTCCCTCCAAGCCTAAACACATTTAGGAGTGAACCGAACCGAATGCAGTGGTGCTCACCTCCGGGGAAGAACCGCTTGGCCTGGGTTGTCACTCGCTTCCTGGGAAATAAAGCCGGTCCATTTGCTCCTCGGGCTTGCAGCATTTCCCGAGGACTGTCCCAACCTGGTCGGTGAAGAGCTCCTTTTCTACTTGAAGGGCCTGGTTGTCTTTTTGATACGGAGCCGTGCAGAAGATCGGACTTCCCTGCCTGCTGCTGCAGCAACTTCCATTTGGCGAGGGCTGGCAGCACAGACAAGCAGAGCAGCCTTCAAGGCCTGGACACCTGGCACATCGCACCTCCTGGACCAGGTGGAAATGGTTCGTAGTCTCCAAGGCTGGCCGTGGGCAACCTGGTTCCCATCACTCCATCCAGTTTGGGCAACGCTCAGGGATGCTGAGTATTACATTCTAACACACCCCAGACAGCCTGAGCTGGGCACTCTCCCGCAGCTGTTTGGAAACGATCCTTATTTTCATTGGGCCATTTTTTCAAGCGCTGTTCTATTGCTTTAGCGCATGGGCACCTGTGTGTTTTTAAGACGCTGCTCTTTGCTTAGTTATATGTGCTTTCCCTCCGAGATGCTTGCACAGTTTCAGAGAGGTGGCACCCAAATGTATTAGATACACACACCCTGTTACTTCTGCTGGAAATATGCTTCATTTAAAAGGTGGGCTACAACCTTGACCGGCAGCCAAACCCTGTCTTGGATTTCCTGCAGCCAAAAACGTCTAACATTTGAGCCTTCCCAGGTGATCAACTCCCCGTAGCATCTTTGTGCCCACAAAGCGATGCACATGGCAGGGACAGCGCTTCCTTTCTGCAAACAATTCATCTCTAATTAAAGCGCCAGTCACAGCGGTCCAAGGTTTTCCCCTCGCTTGTCTTCGCTCCTATTTCTATCAGGCCAGAGAAAGGGAACTCCATTCATGAGGCTCTTTCAATTAAACATTTAATTGCAGTCCTGGTCTGGTTTCTTGGGAGGTTAATCACAGCTGTCTTAATTATTTATGGCTTTTTGGCAAAACTCTGCCTTGATCTGAAGTATTTATACAGTCTATTGGGCCATCATTTAACAGGAAATCCCATCACTAGCAACTGTTCACGGTTTCCCAAAACTGAATGATGGAAGAACGTCTTGGCACCGTTCTGCCTCTTTCCAAACCAGCCCAGATATAAAGAGAGCAGTTTGGTGTGATTAATGACCACCGATTCTCTGGTACAGGATTAAGGAGTGCTTTTGTGTATGATGGAGGCCTCACGGGAATGGTCCTACTGCTGCTCGGTCATACTCACTGAAGTTGGTGTCAGTTTCTCTTCTGGGCCATCCCTGTACGGCATTAAAGCATCTCCAAGTACTGGATGCTCATCCTCCAATTGGTTGCTCTGGTCCCCTTGTGGCTTGCGAGCACAAGGTAAGATTCAGAGATGCAGAACCAGGCCTCCTGGGATGCCGTCAAAGGCAAAATGGAGAATGCACGTGAAACAGAGGTGGCTGGATGCCGAGGTGTGCGAGGTCTATACTGTTCTCTTTAGCAAGAATGTCCTGGCCATTACAGGGACGAACCCGTAGCCTCGGGATGCTGTTGCATCTTCCTCACTGAAGCAGAAGCGGCTTTGCTTGGCGTGTGTGTGTGTGTGTGTGTCTCTGATGAAGAAAACTTTCAGGATAGTGGCGAAAAGTGCTCGAACTTGGCAACCCATCAAGCTCATCTCAGCTCTTTCAACTTTAGAGGGCAGCTTATGTATGCGGAGAGTCCTTTTCTTCCCTCACGGACATGGAGAAATGTCAACGCGTATTTTTAAAAAGGTGTGTGCGGGGCAAATGCTCTCATCAACCTGAGTTAATCTTGGAAGGTCTTCCTTGAAATGCCTCCACTGTCTGAGAACCACCATGGACTTTTCCACGGCTTATGAAATGATCTCCTGGCATCAAGACGAATACACTTCTTGTTGGTGAGCATAAATACCACAGAAGAAATGAACAGTTTAGAAGTCAAATTCAGGTAATATTGGAGGCTGCTTTTTACGGTACTTGGAAGAAGGGTGTGTTCTGGATCCCCTTCCAGATTCTTGCCCACACTTGTACCTCCATTGAGAGCTTCTTGGCAAGCATCTTTTGGAACTGACATTTCTTTTGAGAGCTTGTTGGTCAAGCCCAGGAATAAATGCAGCAACAGTGCCTACTTTGCAAATTCTCGGACGTATCTATCATATTCCCTGCTACGTAACGGAAGGAAGTGATGGTGAGTTGCACTGAATAAGATTTTTAAATCCCTACCAAAATTGACCGAAGGATAATCTAGAAATTTAATGCAATATAAAAACAATAACATGTTGAGGATTAGGAGTGGGAAGAGCCACTTTAGAATTTGCGATTTCCTGCCCGAGATGCTGTATTTGTTTAGACATTTGCCCCAATTTTATTTCTCTCTTCTTCCAAGTGGCAAACACAGTTCTACCTCTTCTCTAATTTATCCTCCCAGCAACCTTGTGAGAGAGGCGAGGCTCAAAAAGGCGACTCGTTCAAGGTCATCTGGTGAGCTTCGAGGCTGAGTGTAGATTCCAAGCTGGGTCTTCCGGGTTCTAGTAGAGGCCGAGCAGGACAAACAGGAGACGTTTCCCAGGCACAAGCAACTGATGATTTCTAACTCTGAGCTCCCATGCGGTGGCAAATAATATAACCAGTCGGAACAGTAAAAATTACGACACCCTTGCCAATTGCAATACAGTTTTTAATAAATCTGGTGAAAATTCTCAACACTTACAAGACTATTGAGAATGGCTGTTATAAAAATGTACATCACCTTCTGTAACATACTGCAAAATTTGAACGGAACTCAAAGCCCAAGAAGGCTTCGAAGCTCTAGCAGAGCCTCCTGCAACCTGGTGTCCACCAGAGGTGTTGGACTACAAACCCCAGCTTCCACAGCCACATGGGCTGGGAATGATGGGACAGCTTGTAGTCCAATTGTTTGGACAGTGGCAGGTCTAAGGTTTGGACTGAGTTTCCCCATTTAGAACTCACTGGATACAGGAGCTTTTGTGTAAAAACTTACACAACACGGACAACAGAACAGAATAAATTATTTTATCACAAGTTTTATAGGCTGCGACACCAGGGGTACTGTGGTAGGAGGTCCTCCTGAAGGAACCCCGGTGAAATGAATCTACAGTTCTCCAGAGGCTGCCCATTCATTTCAATGGCTCTTGCAGAAGTGGGCTTCCTCCACAGCTCTGGCTGCTGTCAGCAGCGTCACGGCGCAAGAGCTACACCACAGGGTATAAAGTACAAGAAACCATGGTGCAGCGTAGCTTTTCCCAGTCTGACGCCCCCTGGAAGCCCTGGACTACAACCCCCATGATCCCCAGCCAGTGTGTACATGAGCTAGGGTGATGGGGGTTGGAGTCCAGGGCATTGGAAGTGGGCAAGGTTGGGAAGACAGAAGTAGCATATATTAATGGAAAACAAACGAACTTATTTTCAGAACAACAAAAAACAGGTTTTTTAAGTATGTACATTTCTTCTGATTGCAATAGTGCAAATAATATTTGTAAATATATCTGTATATATTTATCTACAGTATGTGCATTTTTAGTACAAAAAGTCTTTCAAACGTCTTCTTAAAGAGTGCAGGGACTTGCTAAACCATCAGAAATGGCTGAATGCTTCAAAAAGGACTACGAAAAAAACCCTATTTTTTCTCTTTCTTCAAGAAGAATTGCCACGCCTCTTCCCAGCTCTGACGAGGGAACCTGTGAGAGAGGTCCAGGTAATCTTGGGAGCTGAAGGTCTTTTCTGCTGAATGGAAAGGAAAGGATAGTTTTAAGAGTTCTGTCGTCAAATGAAAAATGGGCTAGCAAAAGCCTCTATACATTTCGAGGGCAATCCTAGGAATGTTTTCGCCACACTATCACCCCTGCCTGGCATTTTTAAAATGGATTTCTGTGAGAAAAACATGCGGCGGCTCAGCTTGCAAATTGTTGAAGCCAACAGTGGCTGCCGGCCTTCCTAGAAGTCAGGAGCGGTTCGGACAACTTTCTTCTGTGACCAGGTCTCCGGCAGGTCAACTTTTAGAAAAACAGTTGTGTTGTCGTTTCGCAGTCAAAACAGCAGAGAGCTTCGTGCTAATTGAAAGGCTTCGTTACAGTGTAAGCTTTTTCACACATTGGATACACAAAGCATTGTCATCCCTTGGCGGGTGTACAAATGTACAAATGTACATGGACAGACTTTCATCAGATACTTGGATGATGTGGGATCCAGTCCAAAAACATTCATGACACAACCCATCTTTTAAGTCTTGCAGGAAACATAAGATAATTTATTCAATTCAATGCATTTGTCTCCCGTCTTTTAGAGAGAGAGAAATTTCCTACGAGGCAGCTTGCAATAAAATGTATAAATTAAGCCATTTATAACAATATAAAAATTGTATCTAGAACTAAAAATGTGCAGACACAGTAAAGCTGCTGCTTTTCTCGCAGGCCAGCTGTTTCCTCTGGATCAGCAATGTTTTAAAAGAGAAGACTGCCCAGTGACTTGCTGGCTATGCAGCGCTTTGATTGCTCGTTCGCTTGTTTTACTGAAAATCTCTGTGTGACAAGCTCATCTAAGGTCTTTGGGGCTTTATCTCACAAGACGACGTCCCACGGTGATACTATCCGCAGGGCGCAAGACGCGATGGAACGTCAGTCCGCTCACTTCCTAAAAGCAAAGCTGCGGCGTACCGGTTGCCGTCTAACTGCTAAACTGCTCTGCTGAAATAGTACACTTACCCCTGTGTGGGCACGGCTGGTTCTCGGTCTGGGCTGAACTTTGTGTGAAATCCTGCAGAAACAAAATCCTGGGATGTTCAGATTTGCAGACAGAAGATTGAAAAAAGCAAAATGAAACAAAACCCAAACACTCCATACTATTATCCTCTGCCCACATCGCCCCCCCCAAAAAAGCCCATGATCCAAATGATTTCTAGCTCGCCTGCAGCAAACTGGACCTGAATCACAAATCAATTCCTACAACAAGACATCCAAGCAACACAACGCAACGCGACCTTATCACCGATCACAGGTTACGAAATTGCTGGTTTTATGTTTATGACATGTTTGGAAAGAGCAAACATGGTTCTTTTCTACAACATTAGGACTTTGAAATGTCTGACCTAATAAGCATTAACAGTTATTGGATTCACAGCACAAAATAATTCTGTTGGACCAGTTTCTTTTTTCCGATCAAAGAATGCAGAGATTTCATTCAAATACTGTTCATATAAACATAAACACTCACAAAGTGTGACACAATTTGTTATAAGAAAAGGTCTTTTCTTTTACAGTATCTTTAATGGTTCTGATACTGTGAAACCTTCTCTCCAAAGGCAGTTAAGAGCTCAAAGGTAATAATTTGGTTTCCATGCACAAGGTCTCAGAGCCAGTTCTTGGCATCTCCACTGAAAAGGAACGCAGGGACCAGGGAAAACCTCCGCCGCAGACATTGCTCAGTTGTTGCCAGTCAGTGTGGGCAACACTGTCCTAGACAGGCAAATGAGTTGACTCACTATGGTGTGGGCTCTATCTTTTCAAGAAATCTGCAAGATCCAGGAACTTGGTGTGTCGAAGGAAGCATTTTTTTGCCTGATAATCCCTTTTCATCTGATAATCTTTCTACTGCTGAATGTGCCAATCAGATATGTAATTAGTGGGGGCCTTTATGGATGAAAACGATCATCTGCTTTTATCATTTGATTGATTCCATTATTGTAATCTTATTGATTAGACTTTTTTCCGCTTTGGGAATATTTTATGAAAAGGCATTTTCTCCCGCCCTTCCAAGAAATGAACACACGCTTTTATTTAGCTACAGTATAGACCGACGCCACAAGCACGGAATTTTGCCCTGTGCCGTAAAACTGGGCATTGATATTCTGAACAGACAGATAGGGCTAACTTAAGATACCAAACGTAACTGAATATGGAATGCTACTGGACATTAATGCACTCGGTAATCTTGCATTGATCGTTATGCACGGAGTGAGATGGGAGGAACTGGTACGCAAACCCAAAGGAACTTTGCCATTTCTTGTACAGCCACATCTGCTGCGAACTACTTTTGAAAGGCAGAAAAGTTTCAAAATGTGTTTGTGATAGGGCACTGGCTGAGCTAGGAGTGTGTATGCGTGTGTGTGTGTGAGAGAGAGAGGGGGGGGAGAGAGGGAGAGAGAGGGAGGGAGAGAGATGGATGCCCGGTGGGGGAGTTAAAAAGAGACATCCCTTAAGCACACCTGAAGTACCGCCTGGGGTCTTGGCCCTGAGCTGAACCAGGCTGAAGGTTCTGCTTCTGACTTTCTTAGAACAAAGCAATAAATTAATACCAAACATGATGAACATGAAGAACATTTCTTACAGCCAAGAATTAAAAAGGCACCTATTTCCTGGACAGGTGGAATTTCAGGTTGAAGTTGTGCCCCGAAAAGGTCATAAGCACTTGAAATATATTCTTTTCAGCAGTATTTACAAACTGCTTCTCATTGAAAGAAATCCCCACGGCACGAGTCCCATGCAGGGATCTTCTTACATCAAGAACACGTGCTTGAACGAGGATGGTATGAATGACTTGCTGCTTTTTCTCCCCCGTTTCTTGAGGTAAGGAATGGAGCTTACCTGCTCATCCACAAAATCAACCGTGCCTCTCATGGATTTGGCCGAGAAGCCGTCATTCTGGGGAGATTTTCTAACACAGCAATATGTATCAAGAGGAGTGTTACTACGAGGAAGCAGATTCAAACTTGGCTTCCAAAATTTTGCTAAAGTCATACATTGTTCTCCTTGGAATACAATTTGTTTTAGAAACAATGACAGGCTAAATAAGAAACAAAACAAACAGAAACGGGACTGTGGCAGGAAAAAAGCATTCCTAACAGCTTTCACAGTATGTGGGTAAAGCCAAACTCCATTCTGTCTTTTTGTTTTTAAAGCAATAAGATGGTTCCCCCCCCCACCCCATTTTCAGCATTTTAGGGCACGTTTGTGCGTCCCCGATGCATGGAAGCCGGCTCATTTCTGTCCCGGCACAATTTTCCCATATGGTAAACATTTATTTTCCAATCCTGGGGTCAGGCACTGCACATTCCCCCATAGAGGGAGGGCTCTCCATGCAGAACCGAATAGGATATTTGCCTCGGGAAGGCCCACAGATTAGGTCTCCCCATGATAGCAAGCTGAAATTTAAGAACACATGCAAATCTGTTTTTCATTTTGCAATATCTGGATGGGGGTGGAGGAGAGAATCCTTGCCTTTTATACAGCCTGTTTGTTTGTTTGTTTAATATTATTATATTAGATTTTTATTTGTGATGGCTAAACAATTTCCCCAAAGCCTGAGGGAAAGAAACATGCCTCCAGGCTGCTGTGCGGGATATGCTCATGTGAACCAGAAATCCAAACCTACGTTAATGCTCAGTAAAATTAAGCTGCATTCGGCTAGTGCTTGTCTTTCCCAGTCAAATAGTTGTATGTCAATTGTTTTCTCAATGATAGCAGCAACTTGATTAAGGGCCAGCGCTCCTTGTTCGCTAATTGTGCTTTTTAGGATCTTGCGGCATCTGCTTCTAACTTCTGCTAGTAAAAGCTGCACGGAAAACACTCAGAGCTTCTTCCCGAGCAATTCCTGTTGCACGGATCCCGCCAAGATTACAATGTGAACGAGTAGTTTCTCCCATTCACTTCTCTGCATTATTTAACCTGGCTCCACGGCTTTCCTTCTTCAGCCTCTCTTTCCATTGCCTGTTCTGATTTTAATTTGCTTTTTTAATTTGTTGCAGTTATTATACAATGCAGTTGTTACGATACTCAGGAAAAATAGTCGTAGAAAGAAATAAATCAATAACTGTATTGCAAATAGTTTAAAAATAAAACCTAAATATCTAGAGCAATAAAAAAGACGTCAAGGTGCCGAAAAGGTGGGCATCTAGTGCCCTTTTGATAGCCCACAGTTGGGTTGCTTAAAACAAAAAGATGAGAATAAGGAAATACTTAAATTTTCCTCATTTGACTGTAGTTATCTGGGCAAGATTCATCAGGTTCTGCTGCATTATACACACCACGGAAAGCTTTAGGAAGTGAGACATAATCAGTGCTTAGTCAACTGCATGGAAATACTATCATTTATGATTTCTTAAAAACCTTCAGAGTAATTAATTCCACCAGATTTTAAAGCATGGTCACCGTTACTCCACACCGAGATTTTTACACACACACACAAATATGTATAGAGAGCATGCATACATGTGTAAGCCAATATATAAGTACATTTTATGCTATGCAACCTGATTGCAAAGTAGAATCATGGCATGTAAAAAGATATTGCAAATCCTTACTTGCCCAAGTAGCAATGACTGCTTATGTAACCTAGAGATTTCAGGGTCTGAATATTTAACATACTTGGGTACATAGGGTCAATAAAGATACCCTCGGTTCATTAAAAATACTGCCGCCTCTAAAAAATACCTTGCATCATTTATCTTTTTGCCTGAGTTATGTTATGTTACTTGTTTGTCAAATCGGCTCCTGAACGTGAGACTCTCCCTATGTTATTAAGTATAAGTTGTTTAAGATTCCACAAGAATGTCCTGTGTATTTTAAGTACCAGCAGAATGAAATAGGGAGTGTCCACCAAAAGATTCTGCAGAAATTTACAGGGAAAAACTGTTAGGTGCATATACGTATCTTATTCATGACAGACGAAACTGGTGTTGGAGTTGAAGCCGATGCATTTATATTACACAGGGACAGAAATGGTTAAGCATGGGGATACGACAGACGTTATGTAACTGTAGGAGAACCCGTCAGTCTAAGTACCTGAATGAACGTGGCGAGCAGCACACAACTCATCTCCTGCTCCAGAATGATCTTGTTCTGTGGGTTATTGTAACAAGCAGCTATGAGGGTTGGAAAGAGCACTTTGACCAGGCGAGGGTCGCTGAAATACTGGAAAGGAAGTTGGCAGAGCTTCTGCAAGACAGTGGGGTGGCGCCCAGACTGGACAATCACCTGAAAAATGCAGACAACACCACATTAGAAGCACAGTGACGGACTGCCCAGATCACCTGGGCAGAGAAAGGTACAGTAGAAGAAGACCGGAGGGCTATAGAATAACGTCAACTGAAAGACCGGGCTGCAGATTTGATTTCTCCAAACTTTTGGCTTGGTATTTCGTCCTTGCAACTTTTCGGGCGCAGCAGTGCAGGGTAACTGAATCTTAGATAATGCATGGCAGCGTCAAACAAACAATGATGACCTCAGGTATCTTGTCCCCAGGTACCATAAGCAAGTAAAAAAGAACACTGCAGTGAGGCGACAAATACCTACGGAGGCTAAAAGATGTTGAAGAGCAGGAGCTGCGATTCGGGGAAAAGTGGCTGGGAAAAGGGATTACACAGCAAGCAGATGTCCATGCAACTCTAAAGCCAGTGAGCAGCAGAGAACTGAAAAGGGGGTTGAACGCTGCAAGCAGTGGAAAAGGAAGACCCTCCCATTTGCTCTTTTATCAGGATGACTATCAGTGCCGTTGACTTTAAAAGGGGAATTGTTTAGATAAATGGAACTGCTGTCATGCTGGCAGGATTTATAGCCGTACATCTGAAACCAGGGACTGTGCCGTTAAGGGTGTCTTCCAGGGTACCTCTCGAATTGCCTGCACCACAAAGTCTTGGTGAAGAATTCAGAAGTGGGCAGCATCAGATCCACCCAAAGGGCACATCAGCAGCAGCCCTGCGACCCAAAATTGGCTTTTCAGTATTTGAAGATGCTCTTGTATCTGCGAAATCTTATCGTTGAAATTGCTCTTCGAAAAAACCAGTATTTTAGAGATACACACAGCCGGACAAGACTGCACTCAAATTAAAACCAGAAGGACTAAAAAGTAGCCGTGGAGGCCACATGCACATAAATTACAGGGGATTTACAAGTTTTCAAAGAACTTTTAACAATTCACTAAGAACACATTTTCAGTTCATAATGCAGTTCAGGTCAAGAACAAGATCAACAAAGTAATAGTTTACATTTTTTAGTTCAATAGCCAAAATGAAATTGAAAACCCTTTAGTGAATAGAGATAGGAACCCTTAATTCTCCTAAATCCAAATGGAATTTTAAAGACAACCAAATATGTTAGTGTGTACCGTGCATTCAAAACACCATTTTTTTTAAAAACTTGAGTAAGACCCCCACCCAAACTTAAAGGCAGCGTTCTCACTGAAGTACTAAAAGTATTACCATGAAGCTATTTTGATCCAAGTTACCCATTTCTTTTTTTCTAAGTCATAGCTTTTACTGTGGTGCTTTCATTATTCCTATATAAATTTGCTGGGTTAAAAAATTTACTGGTGGATGAACGTTAAAAACTGTTTCTGGTACAATTCTGGAGGAAGGTCGGAGCGACTGACTTGAAGAACACGAAAAAGCAAGTTTCCAATATTTACAATTTCTCATTCTATATGTCCCAAACTCCACTACATTCCCAAACTCCGTGGCTTCTTCACAGCATTTTCCAAAGACAAGCCATGAGCCACCGAGATTCTTTTATCTTCTACGCCATCTCACAGTTAAGGTTAGAATACTGTGACAATATTAAAACCTAAGGTCCGCAGTCCAGGGCCAACGATCATTGTATCTTGGGCATTTCTCACATGGGGATTAAATTTAATAGCTGATGCCCGTTCAATTCAACATTGCTGCTAAAACAGCTTCATCTCACATCACCCCCTTCTTTGAAGAAAGCCCTTTTGACAAACAAGGAGACACCAAGGAGTTTCCTCATTTGACTCCAGCGACCGCGTGGGGTCGGGAAGTGGCACTGGATCCGAAACCCTTTGCTTCCTGCTCATTAATTTATGGCACAGAAAGGCCTTCTCTAAATGACTTTCATTTACAGTTTTAATTTATGGTGGATGCTGCCAGTCCTCATGTTATACTGCAGGGCTCCTGGTGTGAAACCAGGAGTGTGGAGAGGTTAGGAACGGCCTCGGTGCGTCAAATGCACGCAACTCATCTATTTTTCCTAACACAAACCATGCTGTGACACCCTCCCCTCTCTGATCTCGTACTTCTCAAGAGGGTTCAGACCAGCCCAAATACACCTGTGAAGGGGAACATGGGCTTTGGAGAGTCCCTGTCTCCAGCAGATAATTCACCTGCCAGCCTCCTCCCCAGCTGAAGGGGCTGTGAGAACGGGAAGCAGACCTGTAGATCTCCAGGTAAGGTTTTTTTTTTTAAAACTGGTTTGCCCAGGGTTTCCCCAACACTTTCCAGTCATTTAATGTGCATCCAAGGCACTAGTCCACATAGTCTTGCGACCCCCTCACATGTGCTTTTAATGCACAAGGAACAGTGGTAACAAGACATTTTAAATAGCGGTTACTCGTTGTGACGGTCTTCCAAGACAGTACAGAAAGGCAGGTAGATAGGTTGATGCGTTCTCCTTCTTCCTCTGCTTCTGTCAGTCTTTTGCAAATCAAATGAGACTTAAAATTAAACATAATTTACTGTCCTTAGTCTGGCAACTTTGGAGCCCTGTCTTTGAATGTTTATCCTTTCTATCTTGAAGTCTCAGAGGAGGTAGCCAAAATATATGCTTGCATTCATGGGGAAGAAATTATTATAAGAGAGATTCTGCCCTACACACTTCCATTAGATGCCCTTACATGTTTATTCAGATATGTATGAGATATGGCAGAAATATTTTGAAGGGGAACATAATATATTTGAGTATATTACATTATATCAAATAATATATTTGAGCATTACCACTCAGATTGAGGCAACTAGCGAAAGAGAAATGCCATGAAGACCCTCTAATTGAAGAAGGCTGAAGATATTGCAGATTTTTAAAAACTCGCCCTACATGTTTGGCAAAGTTCAAAAGGAGAACATGATTAACTCACAAAATGGATTTTGAGAATTGGAAATTGCCTTATTTTAGAATAGATCATACTACTAAAATATTTCCATTGATGTTACCTGTTGCAGTTCTTTATTTAGGACATTTTCAACCAGGCTTTCTCTTAATCCAGTGCTTACGACAGTTGACAAAATTCAACACCCACACACCACAGCAATGTAAAAGAGACACACATTCCGTGTATATAAACACAACCATCTGAACCATCCAGAAAAAAAAAATCAAAATAGAGGGGAGAACACTAACGGCAGTGGAAGGACTGCCTGAACAGAGTGGACTTTAGAAAATATGAGTAATTCTGACAGGCAAATTTGCCCAAGGAGGAAATGCCACAATTCCGGGACCATCACAAAAAACGACCTCTTTCCAGCAGCCATCAACCTAACCTCTGAAGGAGAGAGTCCTTCGTCGAAGGATTGGAATGACAGACCACTTTAAAAGGGGATCCCGCACAGCGAATGCGGGTTGTTTCGTCTGCTATATTTTTCCCTCATTCTTAAATCGAACAATCAAAGCCCTCTCTGGGAACACGCAGTATTTCTACACTGTGAATTTAAGCGTATGTTTCTGCTTCACGCCGATGGGACAAGGCACTCCTGCCAGACTCTCCACAGGTATTCTCTGTGACATATGCCGAGGATTCTTCAGGGGACTGGATTAAATGTCGCACCGACACACTGCTGCCCACCCCTTCTACTGCGCCCTTTCCCCTCCAGCTGGGGGTCTCTGGGGGACACGCGGGCTAAAAAGCTAATGGGTCTAAAAGGCCCCACCTGCCACTCTTAAAACTTGCTATACAAATCGGAACATGGCCATTAAGGAACGCTTTGGTTGCTGAACTTCCAACATGGCGAGCGCGGGCTCAGGCTATTTCCGTTCCATATACTGACTATATAAAGGAGCATATTAGTTTCAAAGCAACAGGAATTGCACTTCAATGGTATATGGTTTCTAATAGTACAATTTCTCCTAACAATTAAAACACTGGAGATTATGTGAAGCTATTTATAAGTATATAAAAGAAATAACTCCTTGAATAGCTCGGCGTGTACCATGCCTCCTTCTCTCTCTCTCTCTGTAAGCCAGATCTGCATTATTTCTTTGCTACTCTATAAACAAATCCCAGACTGTAAGCTTTTAATCAAAAGGGCATGTCATCTCCCAAGTCCAGCTCTTTACCTTAAAGTTCTCTAGCTGTACCTCAGAAACAACTTTAAGTTTTGGCAGAGGAAGTGGAGTTCTTAGCCTTCTTGTAACATTTAAAATGCTCCCCCCCATTATTATTGCCACAGTCATTTCGATGCAATGTCAGAACGCCACTGCAAAAGCGTACAATGAAAAATCAACTTTATCCTTGACCTTCACCTCCCCAAACAAATCTAGTGATATCCAAAAAAGAATTAACAACTGGAACAGTGCAGTCTGCATTAGAGCGCACACGCTTTGCTATCCTTCTTCTTATATGCAAACCTGAGGGCTCCACACAAGCTCAGAGCCACCATCTTAAGTGCTCTTTCCAGGATGGCCTAAGCCCAAATTAGACGAGAGCCTGCCCTAAGCAGGGGGCTCGGCTTACCTGTCCTGCAGGGTCCCTTCGAATTCTGTAATTGCATGGCTCTCCCACTAAAAATAATAGTCGAATAGCAGCAGTGCGACTCCTTCATTCACGAATTGGACAGAACCCTTAATGCTCGGGGATGAACCTCCCGATGCTATTTGCCCCACAAGGGGAAATTTGGGGGAGAGAGATATGCTCGTACGTTTCCCCCGGTGGGTTAAATCGCCACTCAGGATGCATGCGTGATTTTATCAAGGAACATGGCACCAAGGGAAGGGTTAAATCCCCCTTGGAAACTGCCTTCCCTTGGGCCATGCAGCACGGAGGCAGCATTGGCTGTCCAGAGCTCCAGGCAAGAGGCTCTGGAGAGACGGATTGGGGCCACTGGCAAGTGAGGCAGGGGCCCTTCCGACCACCTCCTTGGCACTGCAGTCCCGATCCAAGACCGCCACTTTCCGAGCCTGTTCTGCTCCGAACACCGGGGGATCCCAATCACAGCTCCCCCGTGTCACATCTACTTGTGCCCTGAGTCGTG